ATTCTCAGGCAGGGAGAGGTGGCAGATGAAACGGAGGTAATTCTGACAGATGCTTAAAACCTGAGCTGACCCAGGCAAAGGGCAAGGGTGGGGTTAATTCTTTAAATTTGTGACATTTTGCCTGTAAACCCAGTATTTAGGCATTTGTCAAAACCACTGCCAATCACAGCAAGATAGAACAAAAATAACTTGCTAGCGACAGAACTGGTTAAAGTAACCCATTCTTGATGGGGAGGGACAAGTCACAAATAAATCTGCAGGGCTGTTCTGAGGATTATTCTACGCACTGGTGGACAAAATTGCTCAGATTCCTCTGAGTCAGACTTGAACTGGATATGTCCTGCTGAGTTGGCCGAGGCATGGTTCCATCTTGTAACCTGAGAAAGTGGACAGATCTTTAGTCACCTGAGTTTTAGACCCATGCCTTTCCTGGTTGGTGAAGGCCTCCCAGGCAGTGATGTTGGTTGGATGCATGTGGTGATAAATTCATCCTTGAAAGATGAGTGGTTCTACCTGCCTTGAAGGTGGGGATGTGCCCCTCTTCAAGATGTCATCCAATGGTTCTGAATAACTTTCCTCCAGTCTGCAACCTTCCCGTTCTAGATAAGATTGTTGAGAAAGTAGTCGGACTACATCTCCAGAGGGTTGTGAAGGAAACAGATTATATGGACCCACTGCAGTCAGGTTTCAGGCTGGGACACAGTATGGAGACATCAACACTTCTTGATGAGTTCTGGCAGAGCTGATATGGGGGTGTTGCGACCATCCTAGTCCTCTATGATCTCTCAAAGGTTTCCAGTACCATCAATTACTGTACTCCCTGGACTAGCTTTGGGGCCTGGGAGTTGGAGGCACAGAGTTGTGATTCTCTTTTCTATGGCCAGTTCCACTCACTGCTGACAAGTGGAGAGAGATCCAACCTGAAGCCCTGGTTTGCAGGGTGCCTCAGATCTCAACACTCTTGCCTCTTTTTAACATCTACATGAAACTGCTGGGTAAGGTCATCCAGCAACAGAGAGTCAGGTAACATCAATACTTTGATAATACTCAGGGGTACATCTTAACCTCTGGTTGACCAAGTAATGCTGCCAAACTATGTCTCAGTGCCAGGAGGCTGTTCAGATGTGGCCGAAGAGGAACAGGCTCAAATTGAAACCTGAGAAAAATCAAGTGATTATGGGTCCATGGTTCTTCTGGTCCTGGTGATTTTCCAACCTTGGTTCTGAAGTGGGTTGTACTTCCCCATTCAGAGTTGGTCCACAATTTGGGGATCCTCCTGAACTTACTGTTCTTGATCAATGAGCAGGTGGCAGGTCATGAGGGGTTTTCACATGGATTTATCTGGTGTGGTGTGCCAATTGCACCCATTCTTGGACAAGAGTCTTTCACACTTTGGTCTTTCACACTTTGGTCATCTTATGTGTGGATTACTGCAACATGCAGCTGTCCTTGGAGACTGCTCAGAAGCTACAGCTGATCCAGAACACTGGTGTGAGCAGTTATGGGTGCACCTTGATACACCCATATTTCACACAAGCTGCACTGGTTATCAGTGAACTCCTGGGTATAATTCAAGGTGCTAGTTACCACCTATAAAGCCTTTCATGGCATAGGGCTTGGCTATATGAAGGACTGCCTCTCTCCAATTATTTCTGTTCATCCTGTAAGATTAGACAGGGTGGGTACCCTATGGATTTTATCCATTAAGAAATCCCATCTGATGAAATCTAGGGATTACACCTTCTCTGTTATGGTGCCTGCTCTCTGGAATAGTGTCCCTTTACAGGTTCTGACCACTCTGACCTTGCAGGCTTTTAGATGTTCTTTAAAAACTTGGCTTTTCCCCCAAGCCCTGGGATAGATTGTAGTGTGCCTACTATTTTTTTTCTTGTGATGTGTGTTTCCTCATATAAGTGATGTTCTTTCTTGTTCTTTCTTGTTTTTTTAGGTATTGTACTGGCCAGAGTAGGCTTTGAGTTATAAATCAAAATTATAAATAAACAAAAAGATAAGTTGGGACTTAAATCAGAGGAAGCAAACTCTGTGCTGGTTTACTTTTTCTGCTGCTTGCAGACAGGTGGAAAGTACTTTAAGTCATGGGGAAGAACCCAAACAAAAATTTATGCTACACTATTTTTACAGACCTACAAAACTGCTGATTTTTCCTTATATTGTGTTTCCAAAACCTGAACAAGCATGTCATTAATCACTTTTACTATAACAGCTATAGCTGAGCTAACTACTATTTGCCAGCAGAAAATCTGCTGCTCTCGTTGCTGATTCCTATTCTGCTATAGTAACAAAGGCAGGGAATGGTGCTGTCTTTGCTTATTTATTGCAGATCAAATTAAGAAAAGTGACTGATGAACTCCCCTGGCTTTGCTTTTCCTCCTACCAATAGTCAGCTGGCAAGAAAACTACTGTACCAATCACTTGCCCAAGCATGGGTGGGGCAAGCTTGAATGGGTGCTCAGAATGGTGGGGTTAGCCACCTTTCAGACTGCCTGACCAACAGGTGGCAAATGGTAAAGTGGGAGCAGCTTTAAGCTGGAGGGAGCTTTCCTGATGCTCCTTCAAACCCCTTCTCTGCGCCCGTTGCCTCTGAGTCAGGCTATTTCTCAATAAGAAAGCGCTCTTCTGAACTCCCTCTAAATTTGGTTCAGAAATAGCCTGACTGACAGATAATAGATCAAGAGGGCTGTGGGATGAAGCAGGAAGGAGATCTCCCAAAGCTTGGCACAACTCCTCATCTTCACCTGTCTTTCAGGCTATTTCTAAACACGGATGTAGTTCTCTTCTGAAAAACTGCAAAACTCTGCATTCAAAAAGAGCCCGGCTGAGAGGTAAAAGGCATGGAGGAGGTGCAGATAAAGTGCAAGGAAGTGATGATTAACAGATGAGCTTTGTCCCTGACTGGGGCTGCAAAAGAATGGTGATGCTGATGGACAGTGATGAAGAACGTACACAACAGAGCAGACTCTTTGATTCATGCAGCTGTGCTTGACCCATATGTAATAACAGCAATCATCATCACTGCCAACGCCAGAACAGGCTGGGCAAAATGGCACCCACCCAGCCTAACCACTAAGGGGGACATAAGTAACCATGTGGCATTGCACGAATGGCTATAGAAATTGCAGAGACTCATCCTGGTAGTATTACCCCCTCAGAGCTATAATTGTAATGCTCTTCATAATAAAAATAAGAAGTAAAATACATGGCCATGCAAAAACCCTTGTCAGCAGAAGCAAAGAAAAACCTATAATGTACTCAATGGCGGCAGAATTAGCTAATATGCAACTGGTGGAGCCTGGCTCTCTTTTCCAGTTTAAATACACTTTCTGTACAGCACAGGACTAACACTCTTTCAAAACAGTGTTTTGTATCCATGTTATAAGGATCTTGTTAATCCTTGATAAGCCTCACAGAAAGCACACCGTTCAAGCATTACATGGGAAGAGTCCTCTCTGGAAGTCAGGTATCTAGTCTCTTCTGCAGTCCAGGTCAGATGGCAATGGGAACAGTGCCCAGTGACTGGAGCGGAGGAGCTTGCTCACAACAACTTAAAAAGGCCAATGGGAGCTTGGCAGATTGCAACCTGACTGCACCAACAATCAAAAAATGAAGTGTGCCAGAACGTGCCTTCAGGAAAAAATGTAGCAGGAGAGAAAACATTACTTGAACACTAAAACACTTAAGGACAACTGTAAGCTGCTATCTCAGGAAGGGGGGGGGGAACAGTTTTGGGGCATGTTAATGCAATGGTTAGAGGGCAGGTAAGGAAATCCAAAATAAATACCAGGCTTCATATTTTGGATGTTCACACTATCTCTGACAACAACCCAGAAATGAAATTTTCCACCTCTTCAATGAGTGCAAAGCCAGAATCTTTCTAATAAGCAACTTGATAAGTTAAGACCGTAATTATGCTATCTCCATCCCAAAAATACAGAATGTAAGCATATTTAAGAAAAGTAGAGCTGTATATTCCATTCTGCAGTGCTCAGCCAACTTCTCAATAGCCATTATGCTATCCAGCAGGGTGATCATTTCATCAGGGATAACTGAAGTATAAGCCATAGCTACTTCTAGAATATTTGCAACATTTCTTATGACAAAATTTCATTATATGAAATGAAGGAGGATGTCCTTGACATCCAGTTCCTCTCTAATTACATTACAGTACAAACACTGGGTGCAAGTGAGAATCAGAGTTGATTCTAAAAATAGCCTATTTGGGCATCACCGACAGGCACAGCCACTTCCTGAAACAGTCGTCATCATGCCTCCATGTACTGTATGTCTTGTCCTGGCTATGTCCCCAAGAATGTGGGACTCTGAAATACATGCTATAAATCATGCTGTTTAAACATGAGAGTGCAAAAGCATTCCTGACATGTTTTCATCACCAGCCAAAAGCAAATGAGTTCACTTACACTAATGGGATAAAGTGTGCCAGATCTTCCTCTCTGCAGCCAGGGCCTGTCAGGATACGGAGAAAACTAGTTGGCTGAGGTGCTGGGAGACTGTAAGTTTTAGTTCTCCATTAGCCATGAAAGCTGCTTCATTGCTGGTGACTTTGTCAGGTGCCAGGTGACTTTGTTTGGCGCCAGTCATTCTCTCTCTCAGTCTGACCCACCTAGCACAACTGTGCGGCACACCCTCTGAATGAGTCAGGCTTACTTCCAAGTAAGTGCATGCACAGCTTCAGCTTAAGAGTTACAGGTATTCTAAGAAGATATGTCCAGCTACACTGATGGGTAACAATCATTTTAACAGAGAAACCCGTGACTGAAAGTGCTCTTTATGTGCCTTTATATGTGCCAATCTTGGCGACTTCTAGGTATGTGACCTTCAACTCTCCAAATTCTCATCAATGGCCATGCTGGTTGTGGAATTCTGGGAGTTGGAGCCCACACTCCTGGCAATGGCCAAGGTTGGGAAACACTGACATACGCTTTCCAAAAAAAGAGCGCTTGAACTCGCCCAAATCTGCCCCGTCCAGCGCAGCGCCGCCTAATTCCGTCATTAACAAACTCTCCGCAAGAACCTCTCATGGAGAGCAAGTCCTTTTGGACTTAAACAGGACTTCACGGGAGGCTTTTACAAGACCGCATTACTGGGTTCTTCATTATAGGCTGACCTTTCCACCTTTCCACGCTGTTGAGAAACCAGGAAAAAGCACCCACCTCCCAGGCACCCCTTCTTCCGCGATCCGCACCCCCAGCCCTCGCGCGAGAGCTTGCGTGGGATCACCCTCGCTCTACGCAGGAGCCGAGCTTCCATTTCCCGTCGTGCACCGGACAGCTCACAGACCAGTCACGCGTGCGCAGCCGCATCGTTTGTTTGCGTTGGAGTGCGGGCCCTGAGGAAAGGGCTCCCGGCCTGGAGGAAGAGGCGGCGGCAGGAACGCAGCGGGCGCGCAGCTGTAGGGCGGGGCTGACGGGCGTCGGCCTCGCCAGAGCGACTTGGGAAGTGGGGGAGAACTCTGCTTCCGGCGAACAGAGGCCGAAGCGAGGCCTTCCTGGGTAGCCTTCCGCCCCTGCCATCGGGCTGAATGGGGTTGCGAGCGCCTGCTCCTACAAAACAGCCCCGTCGAGACTTCGCCGTCTGTTAGGCGCTGTTAGGCTAAAACCTCTCCCCGAGAAACCGCTTTGGCTGTGCCAATCTCTTTCGGTGGAACAAGGCCGTAGAGGTGCTGCGGAGAGGGACTCCGTGCCCCAGAAGCGAGAGAAAGCGGGGTGCTGGGGAGCGGATGCTGTCCATTTCGAACCAGATTCCCAACCCCGTTTGGGTGCTATGTGGAAGAAGATGACGGAACTGAGAGTACGTTTGCGCTAAGAAAAGAGAGAGGCTTCCTGGCCCCCAAATCCTCACCCTAACCCAGATTCCTGGATCAAGTTCTCTGACTTGTGGGACAGTGATTTTAGGTGGAAACATGAACAGATACCTCCCAGTAGCACGACAGCATTTCCTGGCTGTGCTAGCCAGCACTAGTGTAGTAGTGAAGTCTATATGTGCCATTGTCATCTTGCTCTATCTTCTCTCTTTTGGTGTAGACACAGTGTTTGGACTTGGTGTTACACCCGGATATCTCTTTCCACCCAACTTTTGGATATGGACGCTGGCAACCCACAGTCTGGTGGAAAAGCATATTTGGGATGTAGGTGTAAGCCTGGCCACTATAGTGGTGGCAGGAAGGTTGCTGGAGCCACTATGGGGTGCCCTGGAACTTTTGATCTTCTTTGCAGTGGTGAATATTTCCGTTGGGCTTCTGGGAGCCTTTGCTTATCTTCTTACTTATATGGCAACATTCAGTCTGTCTTACTTATTTTCTGTTCGCATTTATGGCATGCTGGGTTTCCTTGGTGGTGTCTTAGTGGCCCTCAAGCAAACCATGGGTGACAGTACTGTCTTGAAGATACCTCAGGTGCGAATGAAAGTTGTTCCAATGCTCTTGCTTCTCATCCTTTCAGTTTTGAGACTGACCACTCTTATTGAAAGCAACATTTTGGCTTCTTATGGTTTTGGGGTCCTTTCCAGTTGGATATATCTTCGTTTTTACCAGAGGCATAGCCGAGGGCGTGGGGATATGTCAGACCACTTTGCATTTGCCACATTCTTCCCTGAGATCCTACAACCTGTGGTTGGTTTGCTGGCTAATCTTGTGCACAGCATCTTAGTGAAAGTGAAAGTCTGTCGGAAAACAGTGAAACGTTACGACGTTGGAGCCCCTTCTTCTATTACTATCAGTTTGCCTGGAACAGATCCTCAGGATGCTGAACGAAGGAGGTAATTTTTCTTGAAATATAACTAGGTTGAACCTATATGTGATCTATGTTGGAAAAGAAAAGAAGGAAGAAACTGAGTGAACTGTGAATTATTTTATTTATTTTATTCTATTCTATTTCCATGGCCACCCATCTCAGACAAGTGACTCTGAGCAGCAAACAATCATAAAATCAGTTAAAACTAAGTACAAACACGATGCAAAAATAAATATAGATAGCAGCCGAGAAAAATTATAGCCATAGATATCATAGATAAAACTGTTGAAAAAAGTTGTTTTCAAATTGATGTTTTATACTTACAGGCTTTCTTAAGTATTTGAGGGGGGAAAATATACCTTTGATTTATTGATGGGCTTTCTTGTTTCTTTGGCTACTACTGAGAGCTCAGAACATTCCATCAAAGATTTCAATGCCCTTCCAAGCTGATGCATGCAGGGCAAAATAAAGAGTGAAAAGAGACATCTTTCCTGTTTCTGTGCATTCTTAAAACATTCCTTTTCTTTGCAGCAAAAGGGAGAGAAAATATTTAAACCAGAACAAGGAGCTATAGTTCACAGTCAAGAGAACTTTGAATCCAGCTGAATCCTTTTCAGGAGGCCCCAAGCCTACTTCTTTAGCCTTTCTATTGTCAGTATTTCCAGCATTAGGAAAAGTGACTCTTAAGGTACTTTATTTTTAAACATAGATTTAAATAATTCTTTTTTCAGACTTTGCATATTTATTTGACCCATATATTTATGGGTTTACATATTTATATAAAAGTAACTTCACAGTAGTAAGCAGAATTGAAGCAGAATTGTACTGTACAATATCTTCATGCTGCTTCAGATTAATCCATATAAAAAAGTGTAAGAATCCACTGTGGAATTACAGTAGGCCAAAACTCCTTGGTGAGTGCCCTCCATTATTTGGAAATTTGTTTTATTTAGTGCATGTAGGGGCTGCTTTTAATACTGAAGTAACTCTGAAAAAGTACTGAAAATGCATTAATTTAGGAAAGTCAGGTGAAGAAAAGCCACCAGGAAATTTATGTACAGAGTCTGCACATGATTGTGTGTATGAAATCAAAAAGTTGCCTGTAAATCAGTGTTGTCCAAACTTGGCTACTTTAAGATGAGTGGACTTCAACTCCCAGAATTCCCCAGCCAGCCATGGGGATTCTGGGAATTGAAGTCCACTCATCTTAATTAATTTAGGAAAGTCAGGTGAAGAAAAGCCACCAGGAAATTTATGTACAGAGTCTGCACATGATTGTGTGTATGAAATCAAAAAGTTGCCTGTAAATCAGTGTTGTCCAAACTTGGCTACTTTAAGATGAGTGGACTTCAACTCCCAGAATCCCCCAGCCAGCCATGGGGATTCTGGGAATTGAAGTCCACTCATCTTAAAGTGGCCAAGTTTGGACAACACTGCTGTAAATGGTTTGCTTTTTCCATAAAAATTATGTCTAAACATTAAAAAAAATGACCCATTGAATTTACTGGGGATTTCATCCAGGTAAGTGAACACACCCTAACTTGTCCTATATATGCAGTGTTTAGAGTTTAAACTTGAAACAGTCTGAATATCAAATGCAGGCTTTTTTGTCTAGGCATGACAGTCACCCAATAAAGTTTCTAAAAAGACATTATTTTACAATTTATAGTCTGTAAAGAGAATTATAGAGTTGGAAATTGACAATACAGAGTTTAGACTTCTGACATACATCTAAAACATTTAAAAATCTATGCCTTTCTTTGTATTAGTTCTGATTAGTTTGAGTCTAAAATCCAGAATGAATTCAGGTCTTGTTCAGGATTCACTCAGGATTAAATAACTGTTACATGTTATACATTTTCAACCTCAGCAGGTTGATTGTATTAAAGAAAGCCTTACTTTAAATTATTTTCAAATTAGGTGAATCCTACATCAAAGATTTCTGATTGCCTGCTTATAGAATCTTATAACGACTCTGTTGTGAAGTTCATATTAACACAGTGTAGCAAGACAGAGGATAGAATCAGTTTGAGGGGTGGCTAATAGTTTCATTGTGTTTACAGTATTAAATATTACATACCTTGGCTGAGAAATGTAATTGTGTACAGTGATGCTTAGCATTAAAGTGTTTTTATTTATAAGGCTAAACTTTTGTTATGTAGGTTTTTAAAAGTTATAAAACTCATTTATAAATATGCTTTCAGTGAGTTGCCTGTGCAGGAGCTCTTGAGCTGTCTTACATAACTTGGATCTAGTTTAGAAATTTCAGCTCACATTCTCCTATGCCTGTGGTGTAGATACTTTTGGCTGCTATTGTGGTTTCTGGGTAGTCTGAGTACAAATCCAGAATGAGCAGTTACAAGGGTGGAGTGCTTGATCCTGTGCCAGAAGGGGAAAAAGGAGGGACTATTCTTCATTTTTCAAAGAGAAATTTAAATTAAAAGCAGATGTGAACTAATTTTTTTTTTCTGTTTTCTCCCTCTCTATCCCATTGTGATTTTATAAAACAATGTTTTCTAAGCACTCTGCACTTGTGAATCACAATATTTACAAACGGGAAACCAGCAAATCAGTCACCCATTTTAGTGATTTAAGGGAATTATTATGATAATGACAATTACCAAAAAATTAATCCAAAATGTAGCATTTATTTACCATTTGAATAATTTTATGTACTTTGTGACATGATAACAAGATCACTTAGCACAAATGTGCTGGTCAAGAATGTTCTTCAGTTGAAACCTCAGAGTACTGTGGGGTAGAGACAAGTAGATCTCCAGCCCAATCAAATTACATTTGTAGGTATTTAACTCTGTATTTTCTATAAAAACTTTATTTTGGATTGCTTGTGAGAGATTGCAGTTCCTCTTAACAAAGCACATGTAGATTCACAGTCAGTAACAACACCCAATACTGGCACACTATTGTCCCTGCCACCTTCTTAACTCCACTGTTGAAAGAAAGCAGAGTTTGGGCAGCTGCACAGAAGAGGCACCCAAAGGATATTAGAAATGCAGGGCCAAACTGGTGAACCTTGCTCCTACTTGCCTTTCCTGCTTTAGAACAAAAAAGGTAGAAAGCTGCTACATCACTGTAAGCTTTTCATGCTCTCTGGTCCTTCCCTCAAGAGAGAAGATCAAGATACAGCTTCCTAGAATTACATGGCAGGGCCACCACTTTCTCTCACTTGGTCTTTTCCTTGGAAAATGGAGCGGTTACTTGCCTGGCAAAAGCTGTAGAACCCTTATGTCTAGAACAAGTGATTTCTTCCATCATAATTATATAACTAGAACACAGATTGAAACTTTATATAGTATTTCTAGTATAGAAACATTATATACTTTATAGTATATATAAACATGATAAGTAAGTAAATAATGAAGCATGTATCCCATAAATTAGATTGCTTTAGTAGATCAGTAAAATAAGAGCTATACTGCTACCCTGTATTCTTTCTCTTAAGTTATTGAACCATTTATTTCCTTGTAATTTAATAAGTGCATTTTCTTTAAATACATTGAAGCAACACTATATATAAACTGCAATCTGAACTACTAACTGCATTCTTGTAATGGAGATGCATTAAATAGCTTTCCCTCAGGGTTATGCTCTCACAGAGAGGTCCAGTCTAACACACTGGACAGTGCCAACTTGAGTAAAGCTGTGTTAAATGTTAACACTATGAATAATGAAAGAGGAAGAATCTATTATTTACATTTTGTTAAGAATGAAGATAAATACTAGAGGCCTGATTAAAAATTGTCCTCAGTGAATGGACAAAGTGTTAAAGATATTAGTAGATAATATGTTAAATGGATACTACTGTAGATATTAATGTGTAGAAATCTATATAGTGCACGTGACAAAAACACATATAGTGTGCATTAGATGGATGAGATGTGGGGGAAGAATTGTTTTCAGGGTGTCTTGTAGCTGTTTCAATCCCCAGAGCCTTAAAGTGGTTCTAGTCTCTTCTGTTAACTAATACTAGAAAATTCCTGTTCCATGGAATGCATGATAGACTGTTCAAACTTTGTATCATTTTTTCATTCTGTAGACAACTGGCTCTAAAAGCATTGAATGAACGGTTGAAGCGTGTGGAAGATCAGTCAGCCTGGCCCAGCATGGAGGATGAAGATGAAGAAAATATTAAGGCCGATACTCCGTTGCTACCTGAAAAGAGCCGGGACTCTGTCGCTGTTGGGAAAGCTTCCAGCCAGGAATCCAGCCTCATTACCTTTGAAGATGCCCCCTCTCAGTTGTGACCATGAAGCATTTGCATCTTCTGCCTGTCCCTGCATATCCAAGCTGCTAATGATCCTTCACCTGCCCTCCCTCATAGTGTTCCCTCTTTTGCAGGAACAAAACACTATGCCTCCTGGCTACCTCCTTCCTCCAGCATTTGTGAGCCACCTGTGGTTTTGCCAGGTCATAGGACTCTTTTGGTGAAAACTGTTAATTGTCAAACTGACCTGGGAATGTGTTTCATCTCTTCAAAAAGGTTTTGAAATTGAGAACTTCTCAGAACTGGCAGGGGAGGAAGGAGGTCTTCAGCTCAATAAGGAGCATCTCCTTAAAAAGCCCTTCAAAATTTGCCCCAGCCTATAGCTGCCATTGTGGCTATTAACACAGTGCTTGTGTCTAGTTCCTTTAATGACAGTTTTGGTTAATCTGAATGGAGTCTTGTATTCTCCAGTCTGATGAATCTGCTCCTATTTGAGCTCTAAATGCTAAATTGTCACATAAACCCCACCAAAATATCACAGAACAACCCCTTCAAGTATACAGCACTCTCCTTGATTTCAGTTTTACTTGGTGGCAGTGATTGTTGTCAATAATTATTTGGCTTCTTTTTTTTCCTTTCAGAATTAGTTATTGATTAAATGAGCAAGTACTTTTAAAAAAATCCTTTGTTACTCACTTTTCTTTCCCATATCCATGAGTTTCATAATTTTAAGCCCTGCCAAATAAAGCTGTTGGATTCTCTCTTGTAGAGGCAGCAGTTAAAGCCTTTTAATAATAGCAATGCCATTGCTGATTTTTTACAGTGAAGGGATACAGGTTGCAGCTTGCTTCTAGATTGTCAGTTAACACATGGATAGGAAAGCATTGTCTAAGATTTTCCATAGAACTCCGAAAGGAAATTAATTTGATTTGGTTTTTCTTCACTTCCATTTACAATTATTCAAATAGTAAAGCAGCTTTTGTCTTCAGTGGGGAACCAGTACATTCAGATGCTGCTGGGGTACATTTTTTGCCCCAGTAGGTTACATACTGCTCCAGTTTTATTTTATAAGTGTTTTTTGCAGGAGACTCTGACAATTCCTCTGATGCCTGCTTTTTCTGTTTGGTGAGATCATTAGCCTCCTTTTCTTTGGGCTGAGATGTTTTTTATGAGGGGCAGCAAGTTCTGAGATTTCTTGCCTTGACAGCCAACTCCTAAAGGTGGAGAAGTGGGTTAGGTATCACCTAAAAGAATGGAAAGAGAATGTATGAAAATGTTAAGATAATTTTTTAAAGGACCATGAATTTTTTTGTCAACCAGGAAATAAAACACAGATTTCAGTATCAATAAACAGTTCTTTTGAAGAGTGCCTCTTGATTGGCTTTCTAAACCTCCCATCATTTGACCATGTTAGCTCCTACTTGGAGGTGAACTCAAAGTATTTTAATTGCAGTCAGTATTGTTAGCATGGGGGATGTTAAAATGTAGTAACAAATGTGGTTTTTGAAGTCTTTACATGCAAACTCCTGAATGTTAGACTCACTTCTTTTGCAGAATTGCCCAAGCCAGATCAAGATGATGTACACCTATTTCACTTCCTCATCCCATTTCACAGCTACAGAAATCCTGCATAATAATTACTGTCCATTTTGAACCTGAAGCTTGAGTGAAAAAACTGAACCATGATATTTTAGACAAAGTTCAGTGCTTCCAACTGCAACTGTCTCCTAATTGGTGGCATATCTGATCTTACTTTAAATTTTCCAGAGTTGAATACATATCTACTTCTTAGGTCTTAAACTTAATGCTTCTTCACCCAATATGAATTTCTTATGTGCACAAACAAGAAAACTCCACTGGTAAGTTGCCATCATTGTGTACTTGTTCTAAAAATATAAAGAACAGAAAAGAATTATATTGTTCTTACAAATCTGGAATACTTCCTTGTCTTCCTTCCACTGAATGTGAAAAATACCTGCATGGAATGATTTCTGTGGAAGAAATTCATCTTGTACAATGCATTCCCTGTAATAGCTGTATTAAAAGTGATGCTAATTAAGACAGGGTAATTGCCACAGTGTCATGTTGGCTTGGTGATGCCTTGTTTTAAGGATAATTCTGCCTTAATTTTATAATGAGGGAGAAATTTGCCAACTTGTTGGGTAAGCAGTTCTCAAGGGTATGATGGATTCACCAGTAAGCTAGCAAAATGTTTAATCCTGTTAATGTGCATTCCTCCTATATTCAATAGGTGTTCAGACTTTGCAGACAGACAAATGTTTTGCCTCTGTATGTTCATGTTGTATTTTGAACTGATAGGGTCTTTGGTTAGAGCATGGAGAATGCAGTCTTCTGGGATTTAAAGAAGATACTTGAGCATCTTTTGCACCTTAGCTTGAGGTTCTGGGAAGGAATCCCACGATCAAGCCTGTATCTTTCTGTTGGTTCAGGATGTGATATTTCCAGTTGGAAAATGCGGAAGGAAGTAGTCAGAGAAACCTCATCCTGAAACTCTGAGAAGGTACTGTCAAGCAGTACTGAATTAAAGCTACACAGTTTTAAAATAGTTCTTACATATTAGAAAAGCCAAAAATACGTGAGAAGCTAGGGTTGGCTATCTAAAAATTAAATTCAGAAATTCAGTTCACAGGCAGTCTAACAAGTCAGTTTGAATTACTGGATCAATTCTCTGATTCAAACCATTTATTCATATTGGACTTTTGATTTGAAAAGATTTAGATCCGCTTTGGTGATTTGTCAACCTTTTCTGCATGTGCAAAAGTACTTTTTCAATTTAGATTTTTGAATCCATTTATAAGTCCCAAATGAATTAATTCTCTGAATCAGTTTAAATGTCTGAATCACTTTTTGGATGGTTTACACACCCCTGATATTTACAACCCTGTAGTTCTGGATGAGTTCTTAGACCATTAATGTAAAGAAAGTTCTTGATGAAGGTCTTTTGATTACAGGTGATATATTGACTCCTATGAATTAGAAGTAGAGAACCAGTTTGGTGTAGTAGTTAAGGCATCAGGCTGGAAACCAGGAGATCGTGAGTTCTAGTCCCACCTTAGGCACAAAGCCAGCTGGGTGACCCTGGGCCAGTCACCCACTCTCTCTCAGCCCTGGGAAGGAGGCAAGGAAGGAAAAACCACTTCTGAACAACCTGGCCAAGAAAACTGCAGGGACTAGTCCAGGCAGTCTCCAGGAGTCAACAATGTCTTGATTGTACCTACACATACATGAATTAGAAGTACTCTTACTGTTTTGTAAAGTATTTTGGTAGTAACAACCATTGAGGGGGAAATCTAATAAATTGAGTAGATATTTTGTCACTTAGTTGTTATGCTGCTATAAAAGGAAGTAAGCTTTTTGCCCTAGGAGGTATCTTTAAACTGCCTGTATCCATTCACAGTTCATTTCTTTGTTAGCACAATCTCTTCTTTAATGAAGTTTTCAAGGACTTATTTGAATAATGGGGAGCTTAATAGTAAAGCCTCATCATTATAATAACAGCGATAGAATTTTTATGCTTCCAACAATTGCTTACCATCAACTTTCAGCCATATCACATTTGAGGGAGCACGACTTAGTCACCCTGAAGACACTGGAGAATATTGCCTATAACAGAGACTTCCAGGTATGTCTGCAGATTATTTTTGTCACTTACACTTGCAGTGCTATCTATTGTTAATAAAGGACATGAGAATTACTAATACAGGACAATGAATATACTGTATTAATAGAATTGGAATGGGAAGGGGCTTCTAAGCTGCTTTGTCCAGCCTCTTGATTAAGTGTTCTAGAACATCTCTGCATTTTAAGAACACAAGAGGGGCCCTTTTCAATTAAATCAAAAGTCTGTAGACAGTTTTTCTATATATCACACTGTTGTTCCCTGTCAAATGGCATAAAGCGGATGCTGCTTTGAATCCTGGAGTTAGGATATAGTACAGCTATGCAGTGCTTCAAATTCACTTCAGAAGAGATGTGTAGGAGCATGAGTCTGGGACTTATTAAAGGAACTGTTTCTTTCCAGGACCATGCAGCTGAGGAAACCTTCCCAAAGCAACTCTGTGATTATGGAAGCAGATGCAGCTGTTTTAATGAATAACAGGCAAGTGCTATTCACAGTCTATAAATGATCAGTCTATGCATGATCTGAAGCATCTACAGGTAGTCCTCGCTTAACAACAGTAATTGGGACTGGAATTTCTGTCACTAAGCAATGTGATCATAAAGCACAACATTATGTGACCACGCCACTTAGCAGCAGTTCCAGCAGTCTCTGGTTACTGTCGTTAAGCAAGGACCATGTGGGTCATTAAGCAAGGACCTCATGTGACTGCAAATTCCTTCTGGCTTCCCCATTGACTTTGCTTGTGGGAAGCTGGCAAGGAAGGTTGCAAGTCATGATCATGTGACAGTGGGACACTGCAGCGTTCAGAAATCCAGGCCAGTTGCCAAGCATCCAGATCGTGATCATGTAACTGTGGGAGAGCTATGACAGCCAGAACTTCAAGGACCAGGCGTAAATATCACTCGTTCAGCACTGTTGCAAGTTTGAATGGTCACTGAATGAGTAGTTGTTAACCGAGGATAATCTGTATTGCTATCAGATTGAATCCCAAAGTATTGCATATCCCTAACATATCAGTTCAGCTATTCACAATTGATTGCCTTACTTTCTGTGAATTTTATCTAATATCCTTTTAAAACAATCCAAGTTTTTGTAAGCTCCATAGCTGTAATAGTAAATTCAACCTTCAGCAAAAGTGAGCCTAATATTCATCAGGAATTGATTTCCCTGTCACACTGTTTATCACTTCGTTATTCATGATTGCAGTTCATGCCCAACTGAAATCTATTTCTTTGTAACCTACACATTCAAAAATGTAAAGGTTGGAAGGGATATAGGAAGTCACCTAATTTAACCCCCTACCCTGTGCAGGAATCTACCACTACAGCATCCTTGTCAGATAGCCATCCAGCTTCTGTTTAGACACTTCCAGCAGAGTGACTACCACCTCCCAAGGCAATCTATTCCAATGTTGAAGAGATCCTACAGTTAGGGAAATTTTTCTGATGTCCAACTTGAAATCTCCTTCATCATAATTTAAGGCCATTGTTTCTTGTTCTGTCTTCTGGAACAACTCTGAACAATTCTTCCCTGTCTTCTTCATGAGAGCCATTCAGATACTTGAGGACAGTATATCATCTCCCCAAGTCTTGCCTTCTCCAGGCTAAATGTGCCCAGCAGTTCCAGACTACATACGTGTTTTCTTCCAGGCCTCTTATCATTTTGGTTGCTCTCCTCTGGACATGTTCCAGTTTGTGAATGTCCTTAAAATGTTATGCCCAAAACTGGAACCACTATTCTAGATGAGGACTGACCAATATAAAATAGAAAGGATTTATGACTTCATAGATCTGTTACATCTAGTTGTATTTTTGGAGGATCGAAGAAAAAAATATTTGCCTTGTGTATGATCATTCATTTAGATAGGTTTTTTTCTTCCATATCACTGAGGATCTCTGATGCCTTCTAACCCCATTTCAGTTGATTTACATGCCCAAAGCATTACATTCTAAACTGGAAACTGTATTCTAGATGAAGGCTAATTAGCGTGAAACAAAAACTAATACATTGTATTGCTAAATTGTGTTGAATCACGATCCTTTTCAAATGTATTACCACTAGCCTGATCTCTCATATATCTATGCTTGCATTTTGTCTAAATACAGAACTTCCATTTGTCTAATTTTATTTACCTTCATCTCAGTTTCCCATTCTATCTGATATTCTGAAAGTTTTTCCCATCTTCTTAAGTCTTATTGCTGTATTTTATGTCATCTACAATGTTGAAATAGCCTTCCTCATTTTTCATCCAAGTAATTGATAAAATGTTTAAAATATCAGGCTTATGGAGAAAAAAAAAACCTTTGGCACCCCACTCTTAATTTTTCTTTAGTGTGATAAGTTGCTTACAATAGATAGGAATTCTGAGAGGGCATTAGCAACTTCTTTGATAGTTTAAGATGGTTTTGAAGTATGGACTCATTAAGAAAGCTAGTTACCAATTCTTTCTTGGTCTTGAATTGCGGTCCCAGGTCTTTATCAATCATATTTCTTTGACAAGTCTGCACATATTTCTCAGTATGGAAGAATGAGGAAGAAAAAATGTCACCCTTTAACATTTCACCTTCTAGCCATCATTGTTACTTGCCAGTTTAGTTCAGACTGACATCACCTCTACAGGCTGGGCTACTTCATATGTGTCATTGGGTGCATTTCTTCTGTTTTATTTTCAGTCATTCGCTAACACTTTTTGAGTAGCCAGATAGGTTTTTTTAGATGTCTCCCATTATTGTTTATCATTGAAAATTGTGATTGTGCAATTTATAGCTTTTTCAAGAATCCCCAACTATCTTGAGCTTCTTTTCCTAGTATACCCAGCCATAGAATGATAATTAATACCTTTTTGATTTTATTAATATCAACTTTCCTGAATTTTGGAGTACATTAAGCTTATTGCTAGCTTTTCATAGAATGAATTCCAGCATATCCATGACCTCTTCCCAAGTTCCTACTGTATTCGTTTTATTAGTCAATTCTGCTGTACTGGTTGAGATCAAATTAATTCCCTCATTCCTAGATCTGCATTCTGAAAGACAATGTTTTCAGCAATGCATTTTGAGAATTGGTTGGGAGCTTCCATGATGGTAGGGTTTGTGTTCCTTAAACATCTGTATTTTGTTATCCTTACCTTAATCTGATATCTTGTTACCCATTATTATTTTAATTCCCACTGTGTTATCACATTTTATCTCACCAACTTCTAGTTTATTGAGTTATTTAAATTGCTAATGAAACCAGAAAATGAGAAATCAGGGCAGGAGAAGACAATACTCCAGAAGTATCAACAAACAACAGCAGCAATGTATACAGATAACAAATGTCTCATAAGCTCTGCTTAGGAATGTGATTTTTGTGGTTTTAAAATATTCAGACATGGTGTGAATGAGGTCAGAAAGAGTTTTGTTGTTGAAGTCAGTATAAAAAATATACAGTATTTATATATTGTAGACAAGTAGAAAATTCTTGATAGCTGGCAGCCCTGCTTCTGCTTATAATTCAGATGAACATCAGATGATATGCTGAATTCATATACAGGCTGTGATGAACAGCTTCTAATTCTAGTCATAGCTATTCTGGCTACTGTATTAAATTATTGCTTGATGACTTGAAAACAACTAAAGTTATTCTTAAAACATTGCGGTCGTAATGGGTAATATTCCCCTGAGACACACTGAAGGCAGAACTCATAATTAAAGGGAATATGGTTCATAGAAATATCTGAGAGGCTGTTATGCTTTCACAAAATCTGAAACTATCATTCCAGCAGTGGGTGTGACATTTCTGTATCACTGAATAATGCAAAATCTCTCTGAAGGAAGCAAAAACAAGCATGATGGCAGTATGTCACAGCTGCTACATTTTTAAAAAAATCTTTATTTCAGTATTCATAAGTACAAGCTTCTTTCCCTTGCCCCCCTCCCCTCCCCTCCCCTCCCCCAAGATTCAGTGGTAGGTTCACCTGCTACACAGTTTAGTGCCACTGTATTTTGTTTTGGATGGTTCAGGTAACAAATATTACTTGTGTTATTTCTTATCAAAGCAGCAGCCCTAACTTGACCAGTTTAATGGGTAAAAGCTGGGCAAAAAAGAAGCATTAAAACCAATTATAAATTGTTCATTGAAGTTATCTATGGAGGGATTAATCTTCCCCTATGCCCTCGGTGTAAATATAACCTTTTTAAGCCTAGTATATGTGTGTTTTTAACTATAATACTATATGGCAAAATATATGTTGGAACAAAAGGAGCAGCAACAGATAACTAAACTGTGTACCACTGGAAACTACAGACATTTACATGCTGCTTGAAAAAAGTATACCTCATGCTCTCTGCACAATGCCGTGTGGTAAGATCTTCCAATATCATCAGTCTTTGTTCCTGCCTTTGTAATATTCAGAGAACTGGATTTAATTTAAAAAACGCTGGGGGAGGGGATTGCAATCAAAGCCTGCAGGGTAACTAAAGCTACTTGTGGCCATCTGTCTTTGAAAACTATAGGACTTAAGTTAGTCTGTTTGTTTCATTGATTTCAACATGAGTTGCCCATGAATGACTTTAAATACGTCATTACTAACAATTCATCTGTGACATAATTCTATTTCCCGATTAAATAAGTTTTGCTTTGCCCACTTTTCTTCCTCTTTGGAAAGCACACGTTATTCCCTTCTCAGTAGTAGAATACAAAGACTTATTTACTTAAGGAGGTCCTGGAAGTAACATAAGCAAGAGCCTCAGAGTCCATGTTTACTGAAAATGTTCTAACATGCTGCAAACAAAACACATTATGGGGTCAATTGTTGCCTCTTCTGATAGCTAAGATAAAAAAAATAAGCAATTAGGGTTGATCCCCACTTTGGAAAAGCAAGGGAGAAAGCATAATCTTGTCTTTTTCTAAGCTCTTTAAGAACCTTAGCAAGTTTGTGAAGGAAGCACTTTCATGTAAGAATTAAAGATAAATGAAAATGTCAATTGTGCACATGTACTTAATCACAAATGAACTTGTTCTCAAGCTCCGCTTGCATGATACATCTCATTTTTGTGAAAGAACTTTGCATTTCAAACAACTCCAAGTCTGAAGAAATGAGAGGATTTCTTTGTCAATCAGGACTATGCATTTTTGTCTGTTATTGCAGGATCCCACTATCTAGTACTGTTATTCTTTACTAGTCAGACATTGAAGAGTTTGGGTCAAAAAACAAGTATAGATTTTCTGCTTGATTTACTGAGCAGAAGATAACAGGCCTTTTTTTTTTTTCCTTTATAGGTCTAAAAGATGAGGCTTACAGTCACCTGTGACAGACTTTCTCCAACTTTCTCAACTGTAGCCTCAGTTGAGTTTTGGGACTAAAATTCCCATCACTCCAAGCTATCATCACCAATTAGCCATAAGACCCCACTTTAAGGAACAGAAGACTATATAATATGAGAATGAAGATCAGGAGTTAAGTACTGTGGAAACTCAAGAGGGGACTCGGTTCTTGCTTTTTGTGGCTTAAAAAGGAATAAATACTTCATTATTACATGGCCATTGGATTATCAGTGACTGAAAGCAGCACACTATGTCAGCCATTATTCTGTGGGATGGGTTCACCCATGTGCTAAACTTTGGTTCCTTTTAACTGTGACTTGTTGAATAAACAATTGTGGCCTGGCTGATAAAAATATTAAACGCTGAACCATGGTTTATATACCATAATGGTGTAATTCACATAACCGTAAGTCAAAAACCAAACAAATCACATTGTAACTTAGTTTTCACCCAGCCAATGTGCTCTGAAACTTCATAGCTGCCAAAGCTGCGCCTGACGATGAATCACTTCTAAATTCAATGCTATTGTCAAGGAACAGATTTTAAAGGGACACCCTCATCTTTCACAGTATTGTGCCTGAAGCTGCACCACAAAAGAAATTTTGAGAGAGATGGAAAGAAACACATCTGGCTGTATCCCAGTCCTCTGCACATCTCTTTGGATGCATATCCCCTTGAGGTTTTGCCATGTCTCCTCTCTGCATGCCTCAGTGTTTTTTAGATACAATAATAAGGATGAAATAGTGTTCTTCACCCTGCAGTTTTTCATCTCTGTCTAAAAACAGTTTGTGCCAAAGCTCCCCATGCCCACCTCCTTACCCTTAGACCATTCCATCCCAATTCCACCTTTTGTCTATAACCACTTTAGTGGCACTAGGTTACCTGGGTTGTCATGGGTTACCTGCTCCTGGATAAGGATAGATGTGCTTTTTGGGGACACATCTTTTGAAAACTTACTGAAGGCTTAGCAAAATAAGTGTCTCACCATTATGTTCTGGTAACATTCCCGTTGTGCCATTAAACCAGGGCTAATAACCTACAGCCTGCAGAAAAGGCTGAACTATAACTTAAATTCTGGCAGGGGATATATGTTCCTGTTTGCTGATTTAAATTAAAGTGCCTTTTTATAGCGTTGCATCCTTCAGCTGTTGAGCAAAAAGTCAGAATTTTGGTTAGGAATATAGTTACAGTAATCTCAGTGTATCTATAAAATGGAGGGATACTGGTTTTAAGTGACATCTTTATGCTGAGGAGCTATCTATCTTATATGCTAACATGCATTTGAAATCCTGCAGAGGATAAAAGCACTTGAGAACAGGACAGATACTCCTGAATAAGAAAAACAACAGGTGAAAGAAGTACTCATTTTCTGAAGTTTTTTCCTTCAGAATTTCCTTCTGCACAAAGCAACTCTTTTTTAAAAATGTAAAATATATTATAGCCCTTGATCAACATGTATAGTTGGGGATGCTGTACCTTCACATAGCATGTGACTTTTTTTAAAAAAGGGAGAATTGACCGTCACTGCAAACAGAAACCTGTTACATTGGATAAAAGCCGTCCCTTCAAAGAGGAATGTTAAAAATGCCCATTCCTTAGAACTGAATATGAATATGAAAAGGAAGTTAGAGCAAGTTAGATTTACAATTGTATACATAATGGTCACATCAAGAATAATCTAAACCAGAATATATCCACTGATTTCATGAGGGGAGGGAGGGAGGGAGGGAGAAGCACCAGCAGAGCACAGTTGGGCTCTTATACAACACTAATAATTGTTATAGTTCCAGCAATATTCACACAGGATGCTGCACGGGACTGCAGGACACTTGGTTTGACAGCATAGGCATCTATGCTATGGAAAATTGAAGAATGGCAGCAATTTAAAAAATCCATACAAAGAGGCAGGTAGAAAGAGATTCTTGAGCTCCAGTACTCTTTGTACAAAGACATGGATTTCTTCCAGATAATGCAGAAATGCTTCAGGGATCCCACACAGATGTCTTCTTTTAAAATGGTTTTCAAGGCTGGATTCTTTTACGGTAGAGGTAGGCATTGCTCACTTGGTTCATGATAACCAAACTAGTCAGAATCGGACACAGCATTATCAGATACCAGGAGATTCCAGTCACAGTTGTGGAAAACCATAAGGAACACATGCCTAGCATCAAAGTGGTACAACCAAGTAGATACCCAATTAGCCCTGATGTGGCATGGTACAGCTTCAGTTTGCCCAGCGTCCAGTTCTTCATCAGCTTGGGATAGAGCAGGGCAAGCCCACCCACGCACTGCATGCTAGCATATGCTACTGTCAGCAAGCCAATCTGGCCGTGCCAGGTGACAAAGTGCTCTTTCCCATTGAGGTGCTTGTTATAGCTGATAACGGCCAGACCCAGCACTGCACAGACGAGAGCAAGCAGCTGTAAAGCCCAGTGGAAGCGGACTTTGGCTTTGCGCGAGAAGGACCGGAGGAGGGAACTCTCTGGAGAGAAAGTCAGCAAGGCCTCTGTCATCAGGAAGGAAAACTGGGGGAAGGGAAGACAGAAAAAGACAGCACAAGGGTTTCCCAGATTAAGGTTAGCTGCAAAAAATATTTAGCAATACCTAATGTGAAATTTTAGGAAACTATCAGTCATTTAGTAACACTAATTTGCCAACAGAGGGAGGGTCTTCTCAAGAAGATACATAATTTTTAAATGAAATTCTGCAAAAGAGAAAATACAGATTTAGAGAGAAGTTGGAGATAATTAACTCAAGAAGTGCTATGTTATTTTTCCCAACTTCCATAGTGAAGAATCAGCTCCTGCCCCCTATTATATATAACAAAGCACTCTGTCTTTTTGCCCAAAGAGCAAGCAAATTGAACAACTTGGTATAAAAGGTAAGATTATAGTTAGTTACTTGGGAAATGATGTCAAATCATATGTTTGTCTGGCTTACCGCAAGAGACATTAAGAAAGGATGCCAAGAGAACACACCTGGAAAGGAATGAGAGCAAAATCAGTCTCCGCTGGCTAATCAATGGCTGAAAAGGTACTGTATGCTCCTTACATTCAATACATTCATTTAAGTCTTAAAAACAATGCCCTGATGTGACATAATCAGACCCAAGGCTTATATCATGGCTGTGCCCCACAGGAGCCCCATGCAATATGCTGGTACTGCACCAAAGGTAATGCCACCAAAATCTGGTAACTAATTAGGGACAATTTTCATCCAGACTGGGTGCTTTTAAGGATAGAAATAGAAGCACAAGGCTTTCATTCATATTTCTTAAACTCTCCCAAATTAAGCAATACAGGCTCAACAAATATTTATTGTCCCTGCATCCTTGTATCACTAGAAAGGTTTGTGCAGCTAAGAAGCTAAGCTGTGCCCCCAAAGCAGAAGAACTGGCATGCCCACAGATTGTGAAGTACAGCATCAAAAAGTTGATTCTGAGAAACCTACAAGTAGAACAATACTAAATCTGCCAGTATTGGAAGCTGGCTAGTTTTTCAGGAAATATTTTTTGAGGTTCTTTCAAATTTGAATCTAATCTGCAATTCTTCCTCACATGAGCCAAGGAAGAAATAAAACATGTCCATCCCCACCATTTAAAAAAAGTGACAACCTAGTGAAACTTCAAACTAATTGTTTAAATTCCAGAAGAGTAGCAGGATTGGCTTGGAGAATTTAAAAAAAACATGTATTACAGTGTAAACTTTTGAAGTCCTAATTCATGAAACCTTACACTGCATAATATTCATAGTAAGGTGACACAACATACATTCTCAGAATTAGATGCGGTACTGGTAGGCTAGACTGAGGACTCAGAAATCATCCTAGGAGAAGATAATGGTAAATTGCGTGTCAATAAAGTCACCAGGAGTAGATCTCAATTCATACGAGACTTCATCTTTTTTTTTTAATATGTAACAATAATATACATATATTTCAATATATAACAAGTCTGTTGTTGGAGTGAGACTTTCTGTGCAAAACCTCAACAGGTTTTTTATTAAGGACAGGAATGTTAAAGAGAGCTTAAGAGAACTAGGGCCAAACCTATGAAATCACCCCTGGATAAGACTAAGTATAATCTCACTGACTACAGGTGGCTAAGATAATTTAGCCACATGCAAGACAAAATTTGAGATGTGTACTATACACTATATCTTAAGCATTCCTGCCTATGTTTCAAGCTGCTATTGGGGGAATATTCCTGCATGGTCCTCCCATTGCCCCTTACTTACTTGATCCAGGTCTGGTGAGCACTACCATGACAATAGTAAATCCAAGAGAGACAAGGTGTGCAGCTGCACCAAAGACAGTCCGGAGGGAGCGGTAAATCTGAGACTCTGTTTCAACTGTCAGAGCCATGTCTTCTCCAGAAGGAATAAGATGCTGGCCTTCCACTGTCCACCAGTTATTGGTCTTCTGCGGTTGCATGCAACGCCGATCAAATGCCCCAGAACTTCAGAGCAAGGGAAAACTCGAGCACCAATGTCTTCAAACAACGAAATCCTATGTCAGACTTCTCATGCTTCTGTCAATTATCCTGTGTGGAGGGACGGGGGGAGATAATATTAAGAAAAGGAGGGGCGAATAGGTTTCATTCCTCAAGTGGAACCAAAGAAAATCCTAGGCTGTCAAAGCAGAGTCTTGATTCCCAACAAAGATTGCCCATCAAGGCTTGGGATTCTGCCAGAAAGGAAACTGACTTCCTGACACAGGCTTCTTTTCTTTCCCTTTCCTCAGTACAAATGCAACTCTGGTACCCTCAGTGTAGTGTCGTACCATAAAGTGTTCCAATTCCAATTACTCAATGTCATTCCTCCTTCCCATTTTTCCTGTTTTTATATTATGTCCATTAAGCATACACTGACTTTTCACGATTGGGTGGAGTTTTTTGTTGTTGGGGGAAGGTTTCCTGAACCGTTGATGTAGGGTGGGCTTCAGATGAAAAGAGGGTTTTTTTGCCTATAGGAATCAAACTGACTAAACACAGAGCACTCAAACCTAAACCTGAATGGCTGAAGGAGGCCCAGATATACTGCTAATGCTGATCTAGCTCCAAGGTCTAGGCCAGTGTTTCTCAACCTTGGCCACTTTAAGATGGGTGGACTTCAACTCCCAGAATCCCCCAGCCAGCATGCTGGCTGGG